GGAGGAATAGAAGGAAAGAAGGAAGAAAGAGTGGGAGGTAGGGAGGAAAGAAGAAACAGAGGGAGGAAAGAAGGAAGGGAGGAATAGAAGAAAAGGAGGAAGAAAGAGTGGGAGGTAGGGAGGAAAGGAGAAACGGAGGGAGGAAAGAAGGAAGGGAGGAATAGAAGAAAAGGAGGAAGAAAAGGTGGGAGGTGGGGAGGAAAGGAGAAATGGAAAAGAAAAAAGGAAGATAAAGGAATGAAGAAAGCATAAACAAAAGACCTAAAATAATGAAGAGAGGGAAGTGGAATAAGGATGGAAGGGAAATGTAGAAGAGAAAAGAAAAAATAAAGGGAAAATGAAGGAAACAAAGGAAGATGGATTGCAGTAAGGAAGGGAGAAAGGGAATAAATGAAGGAATAAATGAAGGAAGTGTGAACCCTACTCACAACTGCAATGTCTCTAACATCAAGTTGTGTATTTCTTCACTTTCCTGGGCTGTAGGGGCTTTTTTCATCAGATCAGTCTTCCCACTTGCAATACTCTTGTTGCGATTTTCTAGCATCAATAGTCGAACATAAAACATTTTCAGCAGAATTTTGATGCCAGGAGAATAGCAAACTAAATCGTAATAAGGATGGACTTGGGATAAGGCAAGGTGGCTACCCTGGGAGAGAGGAATTTCCTGAACAATGCTAAAATGACAAATGGAAAATAGACCTCTATGCTTTGAGCATAATGTTTTCCCATTTCAGACCATGTGTCATTTAATAAAATAATACTCTCGGGAATGACATGTCCGAAATGGGAAAAACATGGATTAGGTCTATTCATAGTTCCGACTCCCCTTAGTTACTGTTGCTATGTCAGACAAGCTTAACAAATTATCTAGAATATCTCAGAAGTCTGATTATAAATTGAATATAAATTGTTTCCTTTGTCTGCTGTCCTGTGTAAAGAATAAAAAATTGTCTCGCAATCCTTGTAGTACTCCTTAAAACAGATACTGTGTAGTTGTTTGTGGRACAAKATTTAAATTCCACTGGGAAAACTGCTACAATGGTGAATGGTTCGCTATTGTCTGAGTGGAACTGTGAATTGCCTGTCTGTCTATTTGACACACAGGTAGACAAGTTAAAGAAATCATCTGTGTATCCTCAGCCCTTTTTTTCTAACCCTTTTGAATTCCGTAAGATGAAAATCATAAAGGAATTGTCAGTAACCTTCTCCTTTCTTGAAAATTCTTTTTTCTTCTTCTGTTTCCAGCATTAGAGGATTTACTAAAGCAGCCCTGTTGAGAAAATAATAAACTATTTGATGAAAAAGATTTATAAGATTATTAATACTTGTGCAGAAAAAATTAATTCCACCAAAAGATTTTTTTTTAATCATGAAAATGTCTCGAAAGTTTTTAAAACATTTTTTAAACTAAAAATGTGAACTAAACTCTGAGTCAGGATTGCTGCATACCAACAAGGGCTCAAATTGGTGGAATGTTGTTAAAAGTTTTTTTAATCCAAAGACATGGAAAAAGATATCACAGTATATCATACAATAGATAGGTTTTACATTAAAAAAACAATTAAATTTTGGTATTCTAACTGTTACCTTGCATTTTTCACATCTCGGGACACCATTAAGAAACATGCATCAAGAATATGAAACAAGCCATCATCCCTATCCTAGATAATATTGTATTGATATTAAAGGTTATATTACAAAATATTTATAGCCAGTTTAATGTTTTGGTGACATAACTGACATTAAACGTTTTGCGTTTAGCCTCATGCCATTGAAATTTACAACATGAAAGTGCATTCTGAAGGAGAGCGATAAATATTCCCACAAATTTCACAGCCTATTTTCCATGGAAATGGGTTCCAAGTCACATAAATATTCATCGCTGGCGATCAGAATGACTGGCAAAGCACTTGGCTTGTAAAAAAATGGTTGACAGAAGCCAAGAATCTTGACGTTTGAGGTCAGTCACAGAACATGAAACGGGTGGTAGCCTGAAGTTGGGGTAAAATACAAATGTAAAAGGTTTTAATATTCATTATGTCAAAGTTACATGCCTGTTTAAGGTCCATAGATACTTTCATTGAACTTCTGCCGACCCATGTTACATTGCCTGTTATGTTAATAAAACAGGAAATAAAAAATGTATAGCAAATTATGACTGGTTCCTCTTGTATAGTAACATGTATGTGTACCTCTTTTTATTTCTTTTCCTATGCTAGTATATGCTAGTATATTCTTTTTTATTATAACCTGATTGATTTAAATAAATGAATGAAAAAATGGACGTATGGATTAATGGATTAATGAATGGGTGAGTGCTGAATGGATGGATGAATGGATGGACAAATAGATGAACTGATGGACAGATAGATTAACAGATGGACAGATACATGAATAAATGGACAGATAGATGAACAAAGACAGACGGACGGACGGACGGACAGCAGGGTTCTTACCAGATATTTGAATATCATGATCTGGTAGAATGGACTGCTCATAAAGATCTGGAAAAAAAGCAATTTTACACTTTATACATTATTTACACATAAACAAGAAGAAACAAACAAAACTGAGATGAATTCTTACCAATCCTGTCAACTAGAGCTGTGACAACAGTGTGAGGTGAGGGGGTATCAGAGTTTAACATGGCTTTGCAGCCCCCATGAATGTGCAAATATGCTATCCAGGCTGAAAAAGAAATGTCATGTATTTTTACAGCAATCTGTGCCAGGAATTGCACTAGGGCTTTGATATCTTAGCTCTGGGGACCAAAAACCATCAGTATTAACCCCAAACAATATATCGACTGGATAAGTACTATCCAGTGGGTGAAAGTGCTATCCAGCAAATATTTACAGTATCTGTTTGATAACATCCAGTGAATAACTTCTATTCAAGCTTCATGCATTGGACTTACAGTACACCTGGATAGCTTATTCACTACAGTTGAAGATAAGGATTTATCTGGTGGATAGTGATTGTTCAGGCTTCATGTAAAAGGCTCCTTGCAAATCCATTTTGGAAACAATATTTGCAATATCTAATAACACTTACCTGCTAGAATATCCAGGTCTTCGAGAATTTTCCCTAACCTTGTAAGCAAATAAAAAATAGTGTATAGTTAATTTGTATGTTTTTCTACTTGAGTGTTGAAATACTTTACCAACAGTCTGTTGCTATTTCATGAGTTAACTCTGAAACATTATTTAAGCTGACTTTATTATTTTTATTCTTACCTTACAGTTTGATAGAAATTCAAGTATTTTTGTCTGAGTTTCAAGTCTGTTCCAATTGGCAAAATGGCGGCCTGATAGCTGTCTTTCATTCTCCTGGAAGGAAGCTGGTCTTGCCTCTCTGGCTGTTCTAGTGTTGGTAAATCAAGCCTTGTTGTTTCACCACTGGAAAAGATAAGCAGATTTTTATCTTATAATATATACTTAGCTGTTGCATATTGTAAGTTAAGTGCTGTGAGTATTTGTGGAATGATGTTATCTGGTTGCTCGGTACATTTACTGTTGAGATATTTTAGATATACTTTGTATGATTATCTATCGATATTATATGCTTCATCCATGTAAATGCATGTCTACACAGGTCATTAATTTTTTGATAGTGCAGCTAACCACAATAATACGATGAAAATGATGTCAACAGTGACTTATGGCTGTCCTCCCTGACCAGCCACCATCACCCCATCATGACTGACTGACCACCTACTGTACTACACTGTGTGACAGAGTCAAAAGACACTATTTTGGACAGTAATTATTTAGTCATAAATCTATATTTTTAATTAGGAATGCCTCGTGTACACATAGGAATGTAATTCTTTAGTTAACTGTTTGCGTGGAAAATGCGTAAACAAGAAATAATTTCCGTACGTAATTACATTACAGTGAGTCATGCCTAGGTTTGGCGCTT